ACCATTGATACACAACACATGCCAAGGTGCAGAGGATGCTAGCAGCATTGCCAATATATGGGTTTTTAGCACAAAGCCAGATCTGTTGCAAGGTAATTTTCAAAATCTGTTGCTGGGTAATTTTAATAAGAGAATTCTGCTAACAACTTTGATAGTATATCCCTTATTCTCCAAGTACTGCAACACTTACAGCTCAACACCATACAACACATATAAGTTGGCAGCAATTTGGCAGCCAGATGCGTGGCACCATCTATTGAGAGAGCGGTAAAGTAGTATGAGGCTTGACACGACTCTGCCACCTGGACTGCCAAGCGCCAAGAGATGGCGCTGTGCTCATACCAACAAAGCTATTGAGAAGATAGTTGGCCAAAGACTGGCCAATATCTGGAATGCATCAATGCAATAATTTCAATCCAAATGTGTCAGCAAGATCTTCTGAAGGCAAAAATTTTGCTGCTGATACATTGCCAAAGATTTTTTTTCACCCGCTTTCTGCACAGTGGAACACGTGCTGCACATGACTCCCAGCAATTGTTTTTTCCACCCAGATTTGCTTTTTTTTAACCTCTCCTGGGTTTGTCTCAGACAAATTGATGGCCGGACTTGCAGCCCATCTCACGGCCAATTTTCAAATTCAATGATCAAGTAATATCTCCCAAACTAATTAATGTAACTCAATGAAACTTGGAACACGTATTCCTTAAGACCTAATGGTGATTAATACCTTGTGAAAATTTTTAAATTTTGCCTTCATTCAAGTTATATGGCAATAAGCCAAAATTTGCAGTGATCAAGAAATTTCTCTCAAGCTACTGAACTGATTTAAATGAAATTTTGATGATACATTCCTAACTACCAAATGGTGATGTTTAGCTTGTAATGTTTTTTTTATTTTGCATTTGTTTGCAAGCTTTTTTTTTCATTTCACCTTCATTTGTGATTTAAACAGCAATACAGGCCTAAATTTGCAGTGATCAAGAAATTTTTCTAAACTACTGAAAAGATTTGAGTGATGCTCTGTATATAAATACCTATCTTCTAACAGTTATGTTTAGCAAGTGACAATTTTTTTGACTTTGCCTTTGAGTTATATTGCTATATGTATACAGATGGCTCTTGGTTAAACTGGCCAGTCAAAATGCCAGTCATTTCTCCACATATCCATGTACGGACATAGGTAACATGGAAAAAATTGTCGCAAGCTAAATATCACTGTTGGGAGGTTAGGTATAAAGTACAAAATTTCATTCAAATCTGTTCAGTACCGTAAAATGGGGTAACTTAGACCGGCGGGGTAACTTAGACCACTTTTCGTTTTTTACACCCGGTCTAAGTTACCCCAAGAGCTGGGGTAACAAAGTTCATCACTTTTTTTGAAATTACATAAAGACTATGAGAGGCAGGAGCCAGCAATTTATGGTGAGTGAAGCTAGAGTATAGACCTGTGTTTTGCATGTTTCAATTCAAGTTTAATTTAGATAGTAAAAAAATGGCATCATTTATAAAAAAAAGTGGTCTAAGTTACCCCATTTTACGGTATGTAGATGAAATTTGAAAATTTTTCCACATGCTAAACATCATCATTAGGTCTTAATAAATACATGCTCCAAGTTTCATTGAGCTGTCTTCATTAGTTTGAGAGATATTCCTTGATAATTGAAATTGCAGATTGACCGTGAGACCGGCCATGAGTTTGGCTGTAAATTTGTCCAAGACGTCCTGGGTTTCTAGTGCTGAAAGCCTGAAACTGTTAAAACTGCTAGAAAATAATGTTTCAAACGGGGTAATAATGTTTCAAACGGGGTAATAATGGATCGGCGGGGTAATAAGGTACAGTTCTCCAACATTTTGTAGAAATGTTGTACCGAAGCAGCTAATCTAATCAAAATATTGCAAAACTAAAAATAGTGGCATAAAGTTCCACATTTTTACTATCTATATAGCAAAAAGCAAGTTAAGATATCATACACTTATTAGTTACCTATTACCTTTGAAAAATCCATGGAAAAAAGTGTGGAAAGTGAGATTTTGGAGAAGTACTTCTGCTAAGGTTTGTAGCAAAAAAAAAATTGCCCTATTCAAAAATTTTATTTGCATAAGAGTTGCACACAGGTGTTGGCTTGAAAACGTGATTGACAGAATTTGCATATCTCATTCCAAAAAAAAATGGCGGCCATTTCCGCAGGACGGGGTAATAAGGGACACCCCCCCTGGGGTAATAAGGGACACCCCTAAAAATGCATTTACAGTAGAACCTCAGTTAGCAAAGGCTCCAGTTAACAAAAAAATTGATTAACAACAAAGAATATTGATTACATTAACCTTGCTCAGCAAAAAAAAAATTCACTTAACAAAAAATTAATGCATCATCAGTCATCACAAAATTGTGCATAGAATGTCATATATAGAATTGTGCACCAAGCATCATAGAATGAAAAGTAATTAACCTAAACTATGATTTATTTCTCCAAAACAAATGATGGTTGTTACTGAAACATTTCTTTTGGTTTCATGTATGTTTTTTTGTGATTTTTTATAGTGAATTCACTTAACCCAATTAAAATGGTGTGAAATTACAAGCTGTCCTGTAAGCTTACAGATACAGAAGAAATGCTATATGACTGCTACTTTCAGCTTGCAGTGGACAGTCATTGTAAATACTCAATGGCATGTTCATGGATACGGTAATATCACATCAATACTACGGTAATAAATGGATATGGTAATGTCATATCAATAACGGAAAAACAAGTATAAATCACAGAAAATGTCATTTATTCTACATCTACATCATCTAAAATAAAAGAGGAAGACTTTAGAGTATTGTACCAACAATACTGGAGTACACAATGAAGGAGTACACTCTGCATGCTTCAAACATTTTAGATTAAGTTTTATTTCAAGTGTCCCTCATTACCCTGTTCCCAGATCAATTCAATAGGCTTTTATATTTCGTCTGGCACCTTACAAATAGCATATGGAATTTTTTGGAGATGGCATGAGATAGCCCTTGCAAAGATTTTTAAAATGAGCCCAAACTCGTTTATGAAACGTTTCATTGTAAGAAGTTATTGACAAAAACTCTCAAAACTGTCCCTTATTACCCCTTTTGACGGTATTTACTCATAAGCATTTTTTGAAAAATTTCCTATATAAGTAGTAAATGATAATTAATGAAGTGCTGATTTGGACATTGAAAGTTTACTATTTAGCTGGTAAAAAACATCTTCATTGCTCTTTTACTCTTGTATTATAACACATAGAAAGGAAGTAATCAAGATTAACAAAATTATAGGCATATTTAGTATATTATTGCAAGATATTTCCACACAATCCATATGATGAGGCATCCATGCTGTATGTAAAGAGTCACATTCAAATATAACATATACCTAAAACTTGTAAAAAAAATTATCAGTAAAAATTAGTATTGGTGAAGGACATGTTATTGTCTGGGTCAGTGCAACGTAAGAGCAAGCCAGAGCGCTACGTCATAAATGATGTAACTTATACACAATCTGTGATTGGTTGGAGCTTGTTGGCAGGCTGCCCCAAGCAATGTGGATGATGTGGGGGCCTTTTTTACTCCCATTTTAATTACCATATATGGTAACTTATCCGCGAAAGGGTTAACATTATTTAACCATTGTAGATGTGATATTATCATCCATGGATATGCCGTTGAGCATTGACAACAACCTTGTTCACTGTAAGCTTCATATCGGCAGCCTTATAGCATTTCCTCTATCTGTAAGCCTACAGGACAGGGGCTTGTAATTTCACACCATTTTAATTGGGTCAAGTGAATAAACTATAAAAAAAAAGATTGTAGAAACATACCTGAAACAAGTGTATATTTTAGTGATAACCATCATATTTTTTTGCCATTTTTAGATAAATAAATTATGGTTTATGTTAATTACTTATCATTCTATGTTGCCTGGTGCACAAGTTTATCTATGATACGTATTCTATGCACAATTTTGTGATGACCAATGATGTATTAATTTTTTTTTTTGGGGTAAAATTTTTTTGCTGAGCAAGGTATATGTAATCAAAATTCTTTGTTGTTAATGTGTTTTTTTTTTTCATTAACTGTGGCCTTTGATAAGCAAGGTTCTACTGTTAATGCATTTTTAGGGGTGGGGGGTGTCCCTTATTACCCCATTGTGGAAATGGCCACCACTTTGTTTTGGATTGAGGTACAAAAATTCTCTGGATGAACTTTCAAAGCCAACACCTGTCTGCAACTTTTTTTCAAGCTAATTTTTTTTCATACAGCAAATATATATATATTTTTTTGCTACAGACCTTAGCTAAAGTACTTAAATTTCAAAGTATCACTTGTCAACATTTTTTCAGGGATTTTATAGAGCTAGTAAATGTATGACTTCTTAACTTCCTTAATGCTACATTGATAGGAAAAAAGATGAAGTTTATGCCACTATTTTTAGTTTTGCAAAATTTCAATTAGTTTAGCTGCTATAGTAACTTTTTTATGTCATGGTGGAGGACTTTCCTGATTTACCCTGTCCTTTCCTTATTACTCAGTTTGACAGTTATGCTATGGCATTAATTTGTAAAATTTTCAACTGTTTGAATTGCTAGTACTAGTGTATTGTAGGTATTATATTTTCATTGAATTTTTTTTATCTGCTTTAACGGCCCAATGGCCATTAAAAGCCTAACTGGTGATGATTTCAATAATCAATAATCAAGTATCATAATAAAATCTCATAAAATGGTGTTTGTTAATTTTAAAATTTACAGTAAACAATTAATAATGAATTGAATTATTTTTTTCAATTTTAATTATTGTATTGTATATACAGTATTATACTGAATGGTTCAACTGTGTAAGGTAAATTCAAAAAGAGAGACAATTCTTCATTGGAAAAAACTCAAAGCCTTACACAATATTCTCTACTGAACAAAATAATCAGTGAATAAAAACTTGTATTTAATGAAATGCCTTACTGACATAGCTATTCCTGCAGGTGGCATGAGGCAGTGGAAGCTGGCCTCCATCTTCGTCGCCATGCCTGCTGTTGTTCTCTGCATGATTAATGTCTACCTCTCGCATGAACATCACGAGCGTCCCCCATTCATCCCCTATGAACATATGCGAATCAGAACCAAGGTGCGTCTCAAATATCTTGCTGCAAAAAATAATGAAATTACAAAATATCTAACATTAGCTGTGATTTTTGGAAACACTTTTATGTGATCAATTTGTTTTAAATGAAATGTCAATCTATTACTACAGCTGGTCATCCAATTTTGGTCTTTATATTGCATTTAAATTCTACAGCTTGGAAATTTTATTGCTACATACCGTTCTTGTAAGTCATAATTACAAACTAATTCAAATACCATATCTCGAAATGGTTTTGTTATTATGGTTATGGTTGTCTTCAAAATTTAATTTTTCAGTTATTGCAACAGCAAAGACTTTCTGAGTAGCATCAGTAATTAGATGATGGCGCAACAAATTATTTTTTGCATAAAAGACTTTGTTACTGTACCCTGTTGCCAAAAAGATAATGCTTTGTTATGGTTGCAAAGGGTGAACTCCATTCTTGAAATCTAAGCATATTGCTGTGATCAATTTGATTTCAATTGCCGAGGAACGTATAAAAATTTGATTGGATCTATTTATCTGAACCAGTTATTCTTCATATCGCCGTTACTGATTGTATTTCGAATACAATTGTATGCTTGTTGAAGCTGTAACTTATCAAAATGAATGTTTTACTATTAAAATTTAATAATTATGTGTTTAATTACAGAGATTCCCATGGGGTGATGGGGTGAAGTCGCTGTTCCACAACCCTCACACCAATGCGCTGCCTGATGGATACGAGGATGTCGATGAACACTAAATAAGCCATTTATTTATGTCACTTGAATAATCGTTTCCATTTCTTATTTTATCATGGAAGCTAATGCCACGATAGGTATTAAAATCAGTTTCAAGTTCCATTTTCTTATTATATTTTGGAAAATGGCAGTGGTTTGTAGTGATTGACTTTGGCAGGATAGGACTATTATTGTAAATAAAAATAAGGATTGAGTGGAATAAAACTTCCTTAAATGTGAGAACTTTTTTTTTTACAGAAACATGGAAACGCTTGGAGGTATAATTGCACTAAGAATAGTGTTGTTATCAGTACGTTGCATTAAATAATGTTCAAAAATAAACTACCCTGTTCGTGAAATAGAAAATTTTTTGTAGCACTCATTCATTATGTACATGTACACATTAGCACTCATTCATTATGTACGCACCCATTCTTATCGTTTCTAACGACTACAGACATGTTCGTACATGGACGGCTCTGGTGGAAGACGAGAGAAGACTATCAGAAGGAGGAAAGTCGTGTGGCAGCCTCATTCACGGGACTGCCCAGCAGTGAGGGTCCCGCTGCGGGTTATGGGGGAACGAGGGACAGTCGAAACGATGCTATATCGACTGGATGGGAACCTCGCACTCAGGGCTGGTGATGCTTTATGAGCGCTACGATCTTAACATGTAAGGTGCCAGGACACTGTAGTGGCCCAAACTGAGTGGAGCAATGGAAACGAAAGAGCGCAAACTGTTATTAGGCGATTGAGAATGAATGAGCAGTGTTTCGATCGCAGCCTAAACCTGAGAAGAACCATGACAGTGCGTCTTTAGTTGATGCGAAGTTGCGTCGGAATAACGGCGGAGTTCCATGATCGTAACTGTTGGGTAGGGAATAGTCGATATTTCGCAACGTTTTAAGCCTCTTGCTCCTGCCGATTAGGATAAATGTAGATTTTCAACATGATAAAGACATATAGTTGAAAGATATGAAAAACATTCGTGATGTAGGGGAAATAATAAGCATGTTTTATTTTTCACAGACACCAGGTAAGCTTATGATGACGGTAATATTTATTTATTACAATGCGTAACAGTAATGTTCAAGGAGTAAAAATAACATGTTTTATTATCTTATCTTACCGCACCATGGCGGCATCCACAGATGCTACGTCATTTATGACATTTTGTCCATAGTCGTGTCATAGTCAGTCGTCAATAGTTTAATCTCGCGCTACTGTTGATCATTGGCTACTTACCGTGACTATCTCAGTATTCTGGCACCTTGTACGTTTGTGGTCGCGCGATTATAAAATTATAGCTCGTCGTGTGCGGGGGCCTAATCACATGCATCCTGTATTGTCTCACATGTTCCTCGATCTTTATCATTTGCAGCGGGGTAACACTTTTGGTCAGTGCCGTGATTCCTCGACAGTCAATGCACTATGGCTACCTCCCTTTTCTGTTGTTCTTCTCGGTCTTCAACTAAGTCACTGTCCGGGCGAAAGGGAATATACATAAATAATGACCATTACAAGTTACTCAATTACGGTGAATATATACTATTTTAAACGTTATGAGCATTTGTGGAGCGCGTTTTGAAAACTAAATTCGCGTTTTGAAGTTTCCAAGGTTCCAAAAGCTAAAAATATGAAACATTACAATAAGTCAATACTGCTAACGTCATCAGAAGATAGTAAACTAAAAATTTAAAAGCAAAGAATAGTCCACAAAAGTTCATATCTTTATAGAAAACGTTTCGGAGTCTAGCTTCATCGTCAGTTCGTAGAACCTAAAATATGTATACATAGAAGGTCACAAGTTAATACAATTGAAAGCACAGAATATAATTAGAACCTAAATTTACAAGTAATAGGGCATAAAAACCTATCTATTCACAATTTCAAGGGGATAGGAGCTCACAGCTGAATTTAAACTGGGCCTAAGCTTAAAAATGTACAATGATTCTAAGATACGCGAATCTGAAGTACCGGAGGTTGAAGCTAACACCCTAAAGTCACTGTCAGCAACAGGCACATCACAGTGATGATCACCCTAATCCTAATCATCACCTAATAACACCCTAAAGTCACTGACAGTGACTTTAGGGTGTTAGCTTCAACCTCCGGTACTTCAGATTTGCGTATCTTAGAATCATTGTACAATTTTTAAACTTAGGCCCAGTTTTAATTCAGCTGTGAGCTATCCCCTTGAAATAGTGAATAGATGGGTTTCTATGACCTATTACTTGTAAATTTAAGTTCTAATTGTGTTCTACGCTTTCAATTGTATTAACTTGTGACCTTCTATGTCGTCTATTCTGGATTCTACGAACTGACGATGGAGCTGGACTCCGAAACGTCTTCTATAAAAACATGATTTTTTGTGGACTATTCTTTGCTTTTAAATTTTTAGTCAACTTGCAATTTAAGCAGAAGATAGTAATACTGGTAGCCTTTCTTCTACATTCCTTCTTGACTGATCTAACAGAAGATTGTAGGACATAGTGGCCGTATATTGCTTGCCGGAGACTGTAGTAATCATGCGCTGGGAGTTGATGGGAATTTGATTGGGTTGGGTGCATCTCTTGTACGACGCAGGTGTCGTACAAGAGACAACACGTTTTTCAGGCACCGACAGGTTTTCAGGCACGCATGACCAGGCAAAGGAGAATTAAAAGTGAAAACGAAATTTTGGATAAATATGAAACTTATTGCGTACTTTTGGAACAATACTTCAACTGAATCAAGTTATGAATTGACATCAACTTAAATTAGAAATCCTATTACTTAGAATCTATTAAATTTCTCGATCTTTTAGTTAATCGACGGATTTAGTTGCTGTTTAAGCGAATAAAATAATTCAATAGTGATGAGAATAAACCTGTACACCACGCATCACTCTCTGGCCCTCTTGGGGGTACTATTGGCGTTCGACGCGCTTGCAGGTCCAAAAGTCGAGGTCGGAGGTTGGCGGGGAATTGTCTTGACACACCCATTTGATGTCCCCACGTTCGAGTACGGAGGAATTTTCATGCAATGATGGATGCTGTTCGAAAAGGTTGCGCAGTGGGCTGACAACGAAACGAAGTTCCATTCTGGCCGCCACTTTGGTGATGGGACGCTTTACTCATGGCGTGCTCGGCCGCATCCTGAAATAGTTCCAATTTCAGTATTAATTCGATCAAAACAGCCCAAAATTTGTATCGTGAATGATATTTATATATCAAGCATACAATTTCAATTTTTTTACGTGCTGTATATTGTTAAAGTGAATTAAATTGTTGAATTTAATTACCAATTGAGTGAAGAACAATTTTACCAATTGAGTGAATCATTAAAATACGATGAATAGTGCAGAAATTAAGTAGTATCAATAGATAATTATAACTTGCACATCGTAATTCAAGAAATTTGAATCGGGTTTTATTTACATAGTTGAATTAGGTAATATGCGTCCAAATTTACGCACGTAACTCTTGCGATAGTATTGAAGACTATTATGATTTATTCGCTGATCTACATTTAATGAATTTATACTAATACCATTGGCGCTTAGCCGTACACTAGCTCAATAAACTCCATTAAAAAGCCAAGAAGTTAGTCACTGATAAAAATCATAACCGGTGCAGGAAAAAAATGATTCCGAAAAAAATGATTCGCAGTTCGGCGGTTTAACTATTCAAATATGGTTGCTATAAACATCACTGGCACCTCAAAATGGATCAATTCTTGTCTAATGATTTGAATAAGAATAATGATTAGATTTAATATTCATCTTACGGCCATAGTAGAATTGTAATACTTCGTGCATGGCAGTGAGCAGTTCATCATGAGCTATGCCTTTGCTGTAACATCAATACCACTTAGCTAATGCATAGCCATCTTTGAGCTGATAAGTGTGACTCAATAGAATAGAAGTGTCGGCGTTGAAGAAATAGGCCCATGGCCTGTTGCCGATTTTTGAACTGTTCGTGACTTGATTCACAAGGGATCCGGCCTTTGGAACCCGATCTTTCCATAGCTGACGATTGATTGAGATAGCTGCTGGACTTATTGCCTGGTCCGTAATTTGCCAGGCATTTTAAGACTGAACATATGCTCCTGCGTAGCTTCGTCTAGTCTGTTTTTGAAGATGTTCATACTATTGTAATACTTCGTGCATGGCAGTGAGCAGTTCATCATGAGCTATGCCTTTGATGTAACATCAATTCCACTTAGCTAATGCATTGCCATCATTGAGCTGATATGTGTGATTCAATGAATTACTTATACGCTATTTTACGGTGATTGACATCAAAGTTCATTCTCCTACAGGTTCACTAAGTTAAATTCAATTTGCATTTCTTTTAGTCTAAATTTTCCTGGATCGAATTAGGCAGTGAATATAGCTCCAGCTTTCTCGTGTGAAACTCGCCGAATAATAATAGGTAATCGGCGCCTTGAGCGAGCAAAAGGCTATCGAATTGTTAAACGCCACGCGGAAAAAGAAAACTATTGGTAATTTAAGTGGAAATTTATGTTTCAACGTCGCGTTTTCGTGAATTTTCTTCCTCATCGCAGACTTTTATTTAACCGAAGCCTGCACCGGTGAACACGTCATTTAAATTATCTATTAAGTTATCTTGTTTACTGTGGGGCAGCTGTGCCGATCTATTAGGTAACAGTTCCAAATTTTAACGGTCAAAATCCGTATTCCAACTTGACATTAATACGTAAAATAAAATTTTCGTCTTATTACATTTATTGGATTCGTGTATATAACTGATCAAAAAACGTTCATTATTGAAGTACTTGAATATACTGTATAACAGCATTATTTTAATGGTTGGGAAAACAACCAAAAAAATTACTCACGTGATATTTTGAAGACTAGATCGTCTTCGTGATAACTCTAAACATTAAAAACTTGCCCAGTATCTTGTAATAAATAGACCGAATGTCATGACTAAAAATTTCAAAACCACCCATGAACGAAATTCACATTACTCTCGCGAATAAAAAAAAAACATTTAGAAAAAAATGCATTTTAATTTTTGAGGAAATTTACATCTTTTTTTTCATAGCACCCTCTCAGAAGCAAATGTAAGTAGAATAATAATTAGAATAATTGTCAATAACTGAGCCGGCAGTACTTGAATGACCTTCAATTATGGATACAACAGTTGAAACTTCATCATTTTTCACAAAATCTGAACAATAATTTCTTGACCCAGTCAGCCATTTCGTATGCATGCGATGTAAAACTTGGAATT